CAGAGAACAGAATCTATTATTTGTTCAAAATAGGTTTCCTGAGGTAACTGCAAACCACAGTATTGACACGAAGTCACATTAAAAGCTCTGTGGGAAGGCTAGCTGGCTTTTTGTAAGATAATAATAGGGCTTGTGTGTTCTAAGGCTGCAACCTGTAAGCTCATTGATTTTCCTCTTGGGAAATGGGGCTGTCGATAAGGGCAGCACCCTGGGGGACCATCAGCACCTCCCAAGGGCAGTGGAATCCAAGGGCCCCGCTCCCAATGCCTGAACCGGCCAAACTTCCCCGTTCGCAGGCACATGCCTGATGTGACACCAGCCCCCTCAGACAATGACAGAGATGCCCACCTCCTCCCTCCCCAGCAGGTGGGGAGCATCTCTGGGGACCCGTGTGGAGCCAAGTGTTGGAGACGCAGAGGCGCTCTGAATACCCTGACTTGGTCTGTGTCTCCCCCTTCCCACGACTTCATGCTCCCCTGGCACTTCCTCTGACCCTCAAAACAACAGGGATTATAGTGACACGTTGAGGGCGGGGGGCTGTTATGGCATGAATCATCTTCTGCAAATTCATCTGTTGAAACCCTGACCTCTGGCACCTCAGTCCGTGACTGCATTTGGACATGAGGTCTTTACAGAGGTGATCAAGCTAAAGGAGGTCGTTTAGGTGCACCCTGACCCAACAGGACCAGTGTCCTTACAGGAAGAGGGAAGCAGGACACAGACACACACAGGGATGACCGTGTGAGGACACAGAGAGAAGGCGGCATCTACACACCAGGCAGAGAGATCTCAGGAGAAACCAGCCTGCCTGCACCTGGATCTCAGACTTCCAGCCTCCAACACAAGGGAACATAAATGTGTGATGGCAAAGCCACCCATCTGTGGACCCAGTTACAGTAGCCACGAGAACTCATACAGAGCCCAGGGCCCAGCCGACACCTCCCACACACCCTTGTCCTAACAGGCCATGAAGTTCACACAAGGTGTCCGTTCCTTGAAGTCCTGCTCCGTGGCTTCTAACCCTCACTCTCCCTGACCATGCTGCCCATTGGCACGTTATCCTGATTTCACAAAGGAGAACACTAGGGAGGGTATGCACCTCATCCGACAATGCCGTCCAGCTTCTGGGACTCGCCAGTGGTGGCCTCCTTCACCTTCTGAGACAACATCTAGAAACACAGAGTCGGCTTGGTCCCAGAGGAGAAGACGCACAGAGTTGGGTGCTCACCCCTAACTGCATCTGGTAAGTGTCTTATTTCTAGTATGTGTACCTAGGTGGCGCCTAAACTGCACTTTTCAGTTTCCCAAACCCATAAATTCACTGAATGGGATTTTATTTTCACTGAATAAATCCTGCAGAGCTTGTCCCATCTCAGCACTGAGAGGAATGGACTGGGATGGTGGTTATTCCTTGAGCTCATCAAACACCCCAGGCACAGCACAGAACGGTGCCCAGAATAACCACAGCTCCTGCTCCAAAGGAGGCCAGTTATTTTTCATGATCAGGGAAACATAAATGAAAACAACTCGAAGTTACATCTTACCTAACAAATTGGCCAAACCCCAAAGGTCTGACACTGCCCTCTGACGGCAGAGCTATGGAGAAACAGACATCCTCGTACTTCATGGGTAGGACACAAGCCACACACACCCAAGGGAAGGCATTTGGCAATAGCTGGAGAAGTACACAGATATTTATCATTTCAATCAACAATTCCACTTCTGAGGATCTATCCCAAAGACACGCTGGCAAAGAAAAGGAAGGAAGGAAGGAAGGAAGGAAGGAAGGAAGGAAGGAAGGAAGGAAGGAAGGAAGGAAAGAAAGAAGGAAGGAAGGAGAGAGGGAAGGAGGGAAGGAAGGAAGGAAGGATGCATGTTCAAGGTTATGCGTTACAGTCCTCGTTTTAACAGCTAAAGGCTGCAAACAACTCAAATATCTACCAATACAGAGATAGTTGAACATGCGGACATACCCACAAAATGGAGAAACGCACACCTTACGAGGATAAAAGGAATATGTACATTTACCATATGGTGTTCTCTCCAGGATACACAAAAATTTTTAAAACCCAGTGGAACTTCTAGAAACGAAAAATATAACATCTGAAATGAAAAATTCACAGAATGAGCTTAACAGCAGTTTGGAAACTACAGAGAAAAAAAAGAAAATCAGTGAATCTGAAATATATAACCTTAGAAAGTGTTCAAACCTAAACATGGAGGGAGGAAAAGTAGAAAAAATAAGCAGACCTTCATCGACATCAGAACAGCGTCAAGCCGTTCATTCAACAAGAGTCACAGAAGAGGCAAACAATATTTAAAGACTTCTTGGCTGCAACATTTTCAAATCTGATGAAATTCCCAAGTTAAATTAGTTTGCTAAGCCTCAAGCAGGACAAACAAGATGAACCACACTACAGCATATCATTGACAAATTGCTGAAAAACAATGGCTTCTTAAAAAAAAAAATTCTAAAAACAGCCAGAGGAAATGGACACACTATATACAGAAGAACAGGATTAGGAACTATAACTGCTCATTTCTCATCAGAAACGGTGCAAGCTGGAAGACAATAAAACAGCGTGTTTTGACATGCTGGAGAAAACATGCCTGTCGACTGGGGACTCTAAAATTAGTGAAAATATCTTTCAAAAAAAATGAAAGCAAATTAAAAGCATTTTCTTACAAATAATGGTTGACAGAATCCACCACCACTGTATCTGCATAATAAGAAGCGCTAAAAGGAGCAATGAAGGGTAAAGCAACAAACAGCAGCTAGAAACCAGGATATGCACAAAGGAGCCAAGAGAACATAAATAGATGTACAAAGTACATCTGTGCTCGTGTTTAACTTATTCAACATATGACTGTTTAAAACAAAAATAACTGTGTATCATGGACTTGATGGCATTCATAGAAGTGAAATGTATGACAATTTAGAAAGAAGCAATAGGAGAGCAGAAACGGAAATTTATTGTTTAAAGTTATTACAACTTACCATAGCAAACTTTCTCTAGATATTTGTCCTCAAGCAAGGGAAACAAAAGCAAAAATAAACTATTGGGACTTCGTCAAAATAAAAACCTTCTGCACAGGGAAGGAAACAATCAACAAAACTAAAAGGCAACCTATGGAATGGGAGAAGATATTTGCAAATGGCATATCCAGTAAAAGATTAGTATCCAAAATATATAAAGAACTCATAAAACTGAAACCCAAAAAACAAATAACCCAATTAAAAATGGGCAGAAGACATGAACAGACATTTCTCCAAAGACATCCAGATGACCAACAGACACATGAAAAGATGTTCATCATCACTCATCATCAGGGAAATCCAAATCAAAACCTCAATGAGATATTGACCTCACACCAGTCAGAATGGCTAAAATTAACAAGTCAGGAAACGACAGATGTTGGCGGGGATGCAGAGAAAGGTGAACGCTCCTACACTGTTGGTGGGAATGCAAGCTGGTGCAGCCATTCTGGAAAACATTACGGAGTTTCCTCAAAAAGTTGAAAAGAGAGCTACCCTATGACCCAGCAATTGCACTGCTAGGTATTTACCCAAAGGATACAAACATAGTGATTCATGCACCCCTCTGTTTATAGCAGCATTATCTACAATAGCCAAGATATGGAAGCAGCCTAGAAGCCGGGTCAGTCCCAAGTCCCTGCACAGCACGGGGTTTATATCTGACCTTCCAGGAATGCCACGCAAGATCTTTTTACAGCTTTGAGACAGGGAAACGGAAGGACTCCATAAAAAATCCACTTTGTTCCTTTTCCTGCTTTTTTTCTTACTAGGACCTGCACTCCCACTTTACACAAGCCTCATAGTGTAAATAGTGTATGGCCTCCTCGTAAGGGATAAGGAGTTAGTGATTTCTCTAGAACAGACATCTAAGGAAGGACCAGGAGAGAATGACCAGATGGCCCCAAATCTCTGGCCCAGATCCAAGGAGCGGGTGGCCCAGAGCGACCCCTGCACTCCAGCCTAGCTCCCTCTCTCCCGGGAGGCCTCCACCCCTCCACATCTCTGCTTAAGTCACTTTCCTATCCATTGCGAGCCCCGAGACCCCCACCCTGAAGCAATTCGCCCCCTCCTCCGAAAAGCTTAAGCAGTTTATTGGTTCATGAAGAGCTTCTAGCATCTCCAGAAATGCCTGCCGTGTTCTTGATTATGTCAGAGGAAAGAATGCCCCTGCGGAGAGCTGAACTATGGGCTCCGGAGCTCCGCGGGATGGAGGGTTCTGGAACTTTGAGGGAACCAGGCAGAGCACGTGCCCGTCCAGGGCCGACCGGGCGGCTTTCCCTGGAGAAAGTCCCAGCGCCACTGGCCTCCCGCCCCCTCCCGCAGCGCCCCCAGCGGCCCAGCCCACTCCAGAACTAGAAAGGGCTTCAACCACGGCACGAACCCTGATATCGCCTCCAACCAGGTTCCTAAACGCTAACATTTCACCCCACGTGGGTCCGGCGGCCTGCGGACAGCACCACCTCCGCGGTGGACGGTGCGGTTGGCTGCCCCGGACTGGGGCGGTCCCCAGGGGTCCCCGCCGCCCCC